CTTGTCTGATTTAGTATACTGATGAATTTGAGTTATGCTACCATATTTTAAAAATACTCGATGCAATGAGGTCCGACATTTTACGCGCAAATGTATACAGTAATGCTTTTGAAAGTAGTAGAATAAAATAATTTTTTAAACTAATAAATTTAAACTATGCTATTGTTAAATCGAGAAAAAACATGGATTACATTGTTAAATATACTACTTAAAATGTATTTTATTATATTAAAATATGAAATTAAATACATTCAGTATAGTTTGATATAATTTGCTGAAATCTATTTTTCCTAAGGTAAATGTATAGTTTAGATCCCTCAACAAAGGAGGTTCCTAAAAAAATAATTACTTTTTTAAATTGTCTTATTTTGTCGCAAAGATGAGAATTCCGGTTGTGGAAAGTCAAGTCTTCGCAGCACGGCCGAAGGCCGCCAGGGCAGAAAGGAGTTCGACGCAAAAAAACTATCGAATACCCTGGTGTTGGACCGACGGTTGTTTTTTGAAGTGTGGTCGAAGAACGTCTGTGCAGTATGGATGTCAAAATAATTTTAAAAAAATTTGTCTTTTCGCTCATGGAATTCTCATCTTCGCGTCAAAATAAGATGATAAAAAAAATATTATTTAGTAGTCTCTTTCGTTGGGAGACCTAAATTATACATTTACCTATCTTAATTATACAAGTATACAAATTAGATGACGTAGATTATCTAGCTTTTTGTTGGCAATAACAAGAGTAATCCCCCAAGACCAGTTTTTCTAAACTTAAATTGTGATAAAAATATTTTCTTATAAATATACCCAGAACGCATTTACGTTATATCTTTCCATATTTTTGTTTCTGTATCGGGTATATTAGGGTTAAAAACTGTACATCAGCTGCATTGGAATCAGCTGTCATTATTTACGCCGATCTCATATCATTTGTTAGCCGGTTGGAAAGGAATCAATTAAACGATTTGCTGCAAGAGTGGGAGGCTAACTTGGATTGATGACATATTGAAAGCATTTTGTAATTACAAAGTTCAGCAATATTTGAGTTTTAAAATCGATTGCTAACTGAATTGTATTATGTCAGCCAAAGTATCATATAGATTTCTAATAGCTGTGGTATTGATTCTGCCTTCACTGGTCGGGGCAACCATATCACCGAGGAAAGGTCGTGTTGAAAAAACCAAAACAACTAAACCATTAAATGTGTTGGCTGGACCACACGATGAATCTGTTTTCAATCGCAATTTGATTAATATGCGTCCTCTTCCACAAGAAATTCTTGAACATAATGCAGCATTTTATAAGGATACAACTTATCGGAACTTCAATGAAACTGTGCTTGGCTATGTTACTGCGGTAAATACATACATATATCGTGAAAAACTTACTTTTATTTATCATTAAGTTTGATATCTAATTTGTTTTACAGTGGAATTCACATGGATATGATGTGGCAAAATTGTTTGCTCGAAAATTCGATATTATCTCACCCGTTTGGTTCCAAATTGTCAAGGACGGCGATGAATATAAAATAGCTGGTGCCCATGATGTTGACGTTAATTGGATGAGAGAATTGAGGAGTAAAGGCAAGAAAGAACGTGGTACTACTTTAAAAGGTGAGTATATGAAGTATTATTTACTTATTAGAACAATAAAAAACAATAAGTATTGTGCATAGTTTTTCCACGTTTTATATTTGACAAATTCACGGAACGGGACTTTTCACGTTTGTTGAGCTTGGAAACCGAAAGGGTACAACTGAATGAAATGTTGATTAATGTTTGCAAAAACTATGAATTTGATGGCATTGTCATTGAATTTTGGACGCAACTTGGAGGACGTGTCGATGATACATTTCTCATTACGTTAGTACAAAAAATGAGTAAGTATTATTTAACGGCTATAAGTTTACTATTGTTAACAGATTTACAAATTTATCTCTTTCTGTATTAAGGCGAAGCACTTAAAAAAGAAAATTTACGTCTAATACTTGTGATACCGCCGTATCGTCAAGAAGTTCCAAACTTATTCACAGAAAGGCACCTTAATCAACTGTATAAACATGTTTACGCATTTTCGTTAATGACCTACGATTATTCAAATCCACAGCGACCAGGTATATGCAAAAATTTTGTTCGTGCATATATGTATTTTTTTTAACCTTTCTCTAATCAGGTGCAAACTCTCCATTGTACTGGGTACGCCAGTCAGTGGAACTATTAGCTCCGTCTACAACAAATGATGTTAAAGCAAAAAGGCGTAAACTTCTATTGGGTCTCAATATGTATGGAAATGATTATACACCCGACGGTGGCGGCCCAATAGTTGCGGGGCAGTATTTAAAGCTTTTGAAATATGCAAAAAAGCGTTTACCCTTTGATGAACTGGATGTTGAAAATTATTTCGAAGTAAAGTAAGTGTGTTAATAATTTAAAAGTATATTATTTTTAATTCGTAACAGCTATTTTAATTTGTTAACATATATTTGTATTGCCTGAGAATAATTAATAACTTTCAATATTCACATATTTTTACAGAACCGAAGATGGTAGACACATGGTTTTCTATCCAACACTTTATTCCGTTCATGAGCGTATAAAACTTGCCCAAGAATTGGGCACTGGAATATCAATTTGGGAGTTGGGACAAGGATTAGACTATTTTTATGATCTCTTTTAAGGCTGTTTTTAAGATATTAGAACATTCATAAGCAATATTTTATTTGGTAAGTAAGTTATTATAGTTATCTTAAAAAATTCAAAATAAGTGAATTGTAACTTAACATTCCCGGAATAATGTCCAAAAACTGCACGAAAACGCACTCTAAAACAACTTAGAATATAAACAGTAAATTTGAAGAACGCCTCTAAACTCATATTTTTTTATATAGAAGTTCGCCACATAGGGTCGACGTGAATATAATATTTACTCGGTGACAGTTATTAAGTAGAGTTTATAGAGTAAACAGCCAACTGTACTTGTCCACAAAAACCACTAATTTTTACTATTTAAAACCCAGTTCGAATTGAAAAATATATTTTTTTTTCATTTTGCTTTTATTGTTTGCTATTTGTATGTATTGTAGAAACAGGCTTAAAAACCTTTCAGTCTGTCTTGATTTGAAGCGGATACATCAGATTGGATAATGGAGTAGTGTGCAACGATAAATAGTACATAATTATGAATAAACTGCATTTTTTTTAACGTATGCATAAATCTACACATGTATGGTAAAGGTATGGTGTAAATATAAAATTATCTGTTATCTATAATACATAGATACGAAACTATAATTATAAAAAAAAACTTAATTTCAAGCAAAAACTAAATACAAATCTTGACAATTACGCAAATGCTTACGCTACCCAAATACTATGGCGCAGGCGTTGCTTTTTATATTTTCATAAATGAAATTATTAAATTTTCCCCTCAATAGCTGTGCCACTAAATATCTATATATATATATTTTTTTTACATTGATCAAGCGCATATTTTTCAAACCCTTTTCTGTAGCAACAAATTTTCTTTGTTCACGTATACTTTACTGGCGCCACGAAATAATTTTTTCTACTTTAGTACTTGTAAACCTAAATTATATTTAAACTAAAATTTAATTTTTTAACATATTCCCAAAATCCACATTTTTACTTCTTCTCTTTTGCCTGGTTCATGTTCAAGTTGCAGAGTTGTTTTTTATTAAATCCCAATATATTTATATTTATGTTAGATTTAACTATAACTCTTCAAACAGAAATCCGCAAAACATCATTGTTACCGTTATTGTTGCCGTTTGGATTCGCGTTGGCGCCCTTACAGTTACCTACCACCGCATTTAATTGCCCATAATCAGTTAGCATTTTGAATAGTTGTTGCTGTTGTTTTAATAAGTTCTGCTGCACATATGGTGGTTGCGTGCGTTGTTGTTCTTGCTGCTTCTGCTGCTGCTGTTGCTGACGGTTATTACGTGCCAAGTCACAGAGTTTACGGCGTCGTTCATAAAAGTGTGCAACGCGTTCCAATTTCAATTGTTCATCTGCATTGGTTGTGGTGTTGGCAGTAGAGTTGATGTTATTGCCAGTGACAGCTGTTTCATGGCTATTGTTGCTAGTGCCGTTATTACCTGCATCGTTTGTTTGCTGAGCCGATAGGGTTTTGTGGCCGCCGTTATTGCTGTTGCCACTCTTACTATTATTATTACTAATACCGCCCAAAAAATCGGCTATTTGACGTGGTGAGAACTTTGGTCGCTTGCTGCCATCATTGCGACTGTTACTATTGTTATTGTTGTTGTTGATAAGCGGCATGCAGCGCTTAATGAACTTGATGCGTTCATTACTATTGCCAGGTGTGTTGCTGACAAAGATTGTTTTGCTGCTTTGCGCCAGCACCGGACCCGCTGTGCTGGGACGTGGCGGTGGCGGTAAGCGACTAGTGGGCGTAACAACAGCAACCGGTGCGCCAGTTTGTGATTTGCTGCGCACCAGAGTGGCACCACCGCCTGACGTGGAATTGCCCGACTTGGCGCGTGAACGTTGCATGGACGAAACCGGCGATATAGCCGAGCCACAACCATTGGAGTTGTTATTGAACGTGACCTCCACATTGCCACCACTAGCGCCGCTGCTGTTGTTATTACTAGTGCTCTGTTGTTTTTGTTGTGCAGCATATAGTTGGCTTTGCGTAACCGACGAATTGGTTATGGTAATACTGCCAATGGAAAACTCACTGCCGACCAAAGAATTAGAAGTTGCGGTTAAATTGGAGAAATAATTTTGCATCGATGATTTGGAATTGTTGGACAAACGTACGGCGGCAGATGAGTTGGAACATACAATACCATTAATGCCACCACCACTTAGCGTGATGGGACTGTTATTGGCTTTACGTGCGTTTAATATGTGTTTTCTGAATGTTGTTGCGGCAGCGAATGGCAGCTTGATGAGACCAAAGCAATTAATGGCAATTGGCTTTGGTATGCCCGCGTAGA